TACAAAATCAAATTTCTTTCTACAAGAGCCCCCAGTTCTCTTTTGCTCTGGACTCAACAACTATATTAAATTAAACAATATAGCACTGAAACTTCACCAGATATACAGGTTTTTACCAGAACTTCCCTTGAATATCAGGCATCCTGACTGGTTCTGTGATTCCTGGCTATTCCAAGTTGCCCTTCTTCTTCTCAACTTCTCCCTCTTCAGCATTTTCTCCCAGTATAATTCTCTCTCTTTATTACAACGTTCTGTTGTTGGGTTGCAAGACAGTCAGATGCCATGCTAATGGTTGCAGTATATGTACCCACTTAGCAGGAGCCAGTTGTTACCAGGTTTCATTCTGAATATTACCTTGCACAGTACTGGAATCATTCTCAATCAGTCTCTTGCAGGAAGGAGAAAAATAGAAGAAAACTCTCAGCTCTGGGGCTACTAGAGACAATGTTTCCTCAAGTGCATACATTTTTAATTGTTTTTTTATTGCTTGAGGATCCAGAATATGGAAACCAATGAAGATGAGCAAAGATCACCCTCTAGAAATTTGCCCTGCACACAGATCCCTGAATATATATACATAGAATCAGACTGTATTTCTTTTTGCCATTTTGAAAAACCCCATCAAGTCTGACAGGAAATAAATAGTTTGTATATAACACAGAATAAGTTCAGTTAATGGGATAATTAGGGATCTCTAGAAGATTTCTGAGAGTTCAATGTATATTACCCAGATGCATTAGAGTCCTGAAATAGCAGGTTGAAGAACCTTTCTCTGTACAAGAGGGTGTTATGCAGCAGTCCCTGGAGCTTCATTATAAACACATTTTTAGATAGCTACTTCAAACTCATGTTGAGATGAAAGAAGACTATGTGTAGAAAGAGATACTAGTTAATTCCACTTTTGTAAAAGCTACAATACTTTCCTGTTCTTTACCATGAAATTTTGACTCCCCAGCAAGTTTCCATGGATTTTCCAAGGCAAAATACCATAATTTTGCTAAAGGGGGGAAAACATAAAGATACTATACCTTGTAAAAAATATTAAATGTTTTTTGAAGTGTGGAGTATTTGTAAATTTGGTGTGCATTTTAAAATTGCACACCAAATTGTATTTTAACTACTCAGCCAGCACATGCCTTCATTTCTTAAATCTCAGCATATTTTTAAAAAGTAATACACTGAATTCGGCTTTGCTAAAATGTATCACAGATAAAGCTGTTGTGTTCCCCTAAGCTGCTAAGTGCTGAAATTCAGACATTGTTCAAGAAATTTATTGACTTTCTTGTCACTGTCTCCCACAAGGATTGAAAAGACCCTTACACAGAAAGGCTTCTCATTTCTGATGAGGTTAATAAAATGGTGAAATTTCCTGGATCAAGATCCTAATTTCCAGCTTAGCATTTTAAATACAGTAGGAAAATGATTCATCAATGTTTAATGTGCATATTTACTTATTTTCCAGTGACCTCCAAATAACTGACATGTTCCAGACTGCAGTCACTGAAATTGCATTATAAATAAAAAATATAGACACAAAAAGCCAAATGCACAGGTGGGTAAATGAGCAGATCCCAGAATGCCACAGGGTTATTGCTCTCTGGAGTTAACACTGAGAACAACAATATATCCCCTTACTATGATTTAAATTATCTCCTCAAAAGAAGCAGGTGCTCCAAGCAAGAGACCCAAATAGCTGTGGGATATTCTGTAACACAGTAGGAATACAAAACAAACAAAAGATCAGAGAACAGACTGAGTGCAAAACAGCATAGAGTGCAAAAGTCTCTGCTTATTCCCCCAGTGTTTGGCTAAGGTTGACGCAAGATGCAGATTGTTCCTGTGTGGGTAAGCAAGGGCTGCCATGCAAGCAGATGCAGATGAACACTTGGGCTGTGGCCAGGCTTCTTCTGATCTGGCCTTAGTCTGCAGTGGTGGAGAGCACAGAGACACCCTGTAATGGGCCCAAAAGCACCCACAGATCCAGGGTCATTGTACGTTGGGAGATCATGTGGTTTTGTCCATTCAGTATCTGTTTTTCAAACAGAATCTGAAAATCAGCCGTGTCCAGTTAAGTTCAGCTGCATTAAGGACATGAGGACACGTTTCAGGCATCAGCAGTGATGCTGTCATGCTGTTAGGTGATACTTTCCAACAGATCCAGGCATCTCCACAAAATGCTGCAGCCACATGCCAGGTTCCTTCTGTGTACAAACCTGATATCAGTAAAGCATAAAAGAGGAAATTACCAGTAATGATCCCATAGCAAACAAGAATTTTAAAGCCATATATACAGAAAGCAAAAAATCAAGACCAGAAAGTCACTGTGAGGTAGCAAAATAAAATTAAAAAGACTCCAAACACAAAATCCAAATACAAAACAAGCTAGCAGCCTGGCAGCAGTCTCTTTGGAGCTCTATACTGGTTTTCAGCTCACAGCTGCTGAACACCAGCTGTGTGCACCTTATGGGGCAGCCACATGCTATTCTTGCAGCTTTCCAAAGCCCCCCTTGGTGAGCTGACCTTTTAGAAAGATTCTGGAGAAGGAATACAGTGTTTTCTGCCTGACCAAAACAAAGGCAAATTTGCTGAAAATTAAAGCTTTACTGTATCCCAGATATAAATTCCTAGCCAGCAGTGCACTGGAGAGAACAGAGGGGCTGCTCACACACACCACAGGTTCAACACACCTGAGGCTGATGAGCTCTCTGCTACTGTGCTGGTGGAACTAAGAAAAGTAAGTGTAATCTCTACAGCCTTGCTGTTCCTATTGCTAAAGAGCTTCCTACAGGTGTCATTATTGGAGTAACTACTATCAATGTCACCTTATATTTGCATTAGAAAATTTTGTTCAACTTGCCTTTATTATTGACAAACTAGGATGTTTTACTTGTCATTTTCCATGCCCAAATACAGTCTTTAACATATTTCTAAAATGGTGATGTTTCTCTTCAGGAAACCCTAGAACTTTATCCTTTGGAAATGGTCTTGTCATTAGATGGGGATGTAGTTTTTGTGCTGTTACTTCTGTAATTTTGGTCAAATTCAGGCAAATGACTGCTCAAGGGAGTAAAGACCGCCACTGTTTTTCAGGTTAAAGGTGCAATGTGTCAGGGCACAATAAGCACGACTGAGTCAAAATACATTCAGGCAAAAAAACTAAATGTGCCATGTCTGATACAGAGACCAGCTGGCCTGACATTGCCCATGGCATCATTATAATCTCTCTCTGTACAGCAGGGGAGCCTCATTGCTGCTGCCTGGCTGTGCTAGTTTCCAAATGGTGCCAGTGAACTGTTTCTCAGAGTGCTCATTGGTCCAGATCAAAACTGTCACTATCACCATCACTTAAGAGTGCAGACAGGTGGGTGTCAGTACCCCAAGACTGTTTAATTTACTGGTACAGCTTTCATCTCAGAGCTCCTATGTGTCGTCCTCACATACAAACATGCTTCATACTCCCTATTCTGCAACAAGCTTGAGTTGCACGAGGAACAGAGAGGGAATCTGTGTTAGCCCAGAATTACCTGTAGCAAGCCAAACTTTTCTTGAAACTGCTTTTTTTGCCCAACTTTAGGACACCCTTTTTCTCACTTTGGGGTCCTGATATTGTGCTAGAAGCAGCCTGACCCAGTCCCTGCTAGGTTTGATGTGCTGACCAAGGTGATACTGGACCAGAGAGGTCAAAGGGGAGCATTGCAGAGTTATCAGTTAGAGCTGCTGGAGAGACAAGGAGTGCCTGGGCAGGGGAAACAGCATCAGGTGGACAAAATTGGTTGAAGAACTGTGAGTAACATTTCCTGTTAAATAATGCCGAGCCATTTCCAGGGTATATCCTCAGTGCTACTGTGCATACTATTTCGCATATGCTCACTGAGACAACATCTTGGTGGAGAAAATAGTCTATGCCTATTTTGTAAAAAATTACTATAATCCATACGTCAAAAAAACAAATTAAGCTTGAGCAGAAAAGTTTCATTTTAGCACTTTGTAACTTTTTAGTGTTTGTCTTTCCCACTTCAATAATGAGATTTTGAAACAATTTCCTGTTTTGACATTTAAGATAAAATGCATGAATATGTATTTATCCTTTCTCTACAGAGATGCTGTGAACATTCTGGTACTATGGATAAGTCAAAACACTCTTGGAAAGGAAATGTGAAAAAATATAGGCAACAATATTTTAGTTTAAATAGTTTAAGCATTTTTACTGGTTTGTTTCAGCCAAAAGTGCCATAGGCCATCCTTCAGGCTGAACTCAGGAAGGATGGCACGTGTACAGTTGAAGTGCTCTGTTTGTCCCTGCAAACATTACAAACTTACAGCTGTAGTAATAAGCTCCTGAAGAATATGTTACTTTAATATTGGAAAAATGAGTTTAGAACAAAGACAGGCTGTAGTTAATTACAAACACACTCAATGCTCACATCTGACAGCTCTTCAGTCATAATGAGACCAGATATTCTGTATTTGGTTTAAGAGAAGACATAGTAAAGGAAATTGACAAACCGTCTGTCTGATAGTAAAATTAAGAACTCATTGACTCTCTGAGGTGCTTAGAGTTGGAAAGAATTGCCTTCAGATAGATTACTTGAACTCTTGTGTTTTGTACCAGCATCTGTGCAAAATCAAACCTGAGGAATTCAGTGTTTGTTTTATCCACATACACCATCCTCCAGCAGCCTTTTCTGATAGGGAAGCTGTGTCAAGCTATTTCAAAACTTCACCAAGCTTTAGACATGGGAATAAAAGTGATGACCTGACAAAATACAAATGAGATTTGGATCTCTTTTAAATATTACATCAGATGGACTATAAACTAATGAATATAATTGAGCTTTTGCTTTGCAGTAGCAATATAGGATATAATTGAGATAATAAATCAGAGAAAGAGACTTAAAAGGAGGCAACCTTTTAATACAGAGCTTACATTAACTTTTATTTATTCATCAGATCCCTTATTGGAATTATGAGATTTGGAGGCACAATATGTACTCATTCTGTCATGATGGCATAAAACATCCTTATTGTTTGGGCTCAATTGTAAGTGCGTGTATGAAACAAAAAGCTAACACAAGATTAAAAATGGGGTCAAAACCAGGGTGATTACATTTTTTTGTCACATCTGGCATTTGGTGATTATTTCAGTCTTACAATGCAAGAGACCAATTCCATAAGAAATGGATTATCCATACACATATCATGAGGCAAACCCAGACTTTCTCCTCATATTAAAAAAATGTTCCTTTATCTCCCAAGAATACACTGTAGATTCTCCAAGATTCCACATACCTGTTGGTGTATTTTTGAATCAGGTGCAGCGATGAAATTGCAGCACCACTGTGAGGACTCAGGTTTACATCACCAGCAGACATCACCACCCTCTCCTGACCTTTATTTTCCTTGACCCTTTCGGACATGTTGGTCAGTATGTGATTGGAATAGTCAGCGGGTTAATGAGGATTTGGCTGGCACTCAAGCAGTCTGTGTTCCTGGGGTTCACACAGTGCCAGTACAGGGCTTGGGGAAGTACACTGGATTCAAGACAGGGAAAAAAGTAGTCACAGTTAAGATTAAAATTCTCATGAATTTGGGCCACATGCTCATGAAGGGACCAACTAGACAAACTGCATGTTTTCGCAGGGCTGTATTTGTGAGAAATGCTCCCAATAAATACCAGAGATTAACAATACAACTCATAACTATTCGAACAAACTTTTTCAAAATGTCTGTCCCACATTAAAACCAGAAATTTCTTTTCTCTCATGTGCTTGCCATTTTTTTTCCAGGATTCATTTTTCAGCTCCACAAGACCCTTATCCAGGTGCTTTTCACCAGCTTTGTGTCCCAGCTTTTTGTCATCTTTTATGCAGCCTGAACTCCACACAGCTATTTATGTGCACCACTAAGGATTTCTGTGCCTCTTAAAATCTATGCCTTAAACACTTGGGTGACTATTGGTTTTTTTCAAAATGAATGTGTAAAGCCTCCAGAGGTGCCAGTGGGAAGTCAGAGGGCTGATATGCACTGTGTGTTCAGGGTTGTACAACACGGGGAGAAACTTCATCTTAGATTTCAGGTTGCATACAAGAACAACCTGAGTGTGCATGGGAACATCTTGGAGGCAGTCCAGATTCCAGGTTCTGTCCAGGTTCTAGATAGCTCAGTTAGACATAGAAGAGATGATGAGGTCACAGTGAATTTAAAATTTTGTGAAAGGGAGCAGATATTCTCAGCAACAGACCCCTTTTCTCACCATCTGCACCGTTGCATAGTATTGCAATGTCTTAAAGCCCAAAGCAGGAAATAACTGTAGACTATTTTTTGTTGTTTCTACGCAAAGATACAACAACAAAGCACTCTCTGGAAATGCAGTGGTTCTAAATATTTTCCTTGGTTGATTCTGAGGTTGTTTAGGAGATTCATAGATTTCAAGTATTCATGAACAAGTCTGCAGGTGAGTAAAGGGAATGCAAAACTGGCCAGAAATGGTGTCTCTACATAGAGCTAAATCCCATGTAATTTGAGAATTGATGAGTGTTTCTTCATTTTTAATTCTGAGGGATGCCTTCTGTTAGAATAATATTTTGTCCAGCACTACATATTTCCTTTATCTAGGGAGCTGGCAGGGGAAGAGGACAGAAGCTCTTCAGGCAGTAGAAGTTGAATTTAATAGGATTCACAGAAGAGATTTAAGGAGCTAATCATCCTTATAGCTGCTCAAGTTCAATTTTTATCCCCCAAAGCTACTAATTTTTTAAGCATGTATTTTTGTCAGTGCTTTGCAGCAAATATCTCCCCTTGGGGCACATAGCAATGTGCAGGCTGTATTACATAAATGAGCTTCTTTGCCATCCCAGTAACCCATAAATGTCAGTGACACATAAAACTAGGTATTCCTTCATCTCAGCAGGCCGACCTAGCCCAAGCCTTACACTTAGAAAATTCAGAGGAGGACACAGTGGCAAGCAGAACTACAGCGCTTAGATGCCAGGATCCAGAGTCAGAACTGACAGTATTGGGTGCCCACAAAGTACCATCCAAACATGAGTGAGGCTCTACACCAGGATTTTAAAAAATTGGCACTTCCCCCTCTATCAGCCAAAGTAAAAGCCATAGATGGCTGTATGTTTGATATTTCAAACATATATTGATATACATTCCATTTAGAGGAAAGAGGGTTAGAAAATGCAAACCAAGCAGATTATTTTTTTGCATACATTTATCCCTCTCTCAGTTACCTCTATTGTGAATTCAGTGTGATTTAAATTAATGGAGTAAGAGAGATATTGTCCACAATTTGGAAGAAGATATTTCAGAACTATTTGAGCACCCCTTATGCCTCATAGGCACCTTGTTCTCATTAACACAATGCTTGTCAAGGAGCTGCAAAGTGGTTTTATGAGTGAATAGGTAGAAAAGTGAAATAACTGTGAGTTTTGGGGCTTTTATCAACTCATTTTAGATGAGAGAGATATGCAGCCCTGCTTTCCTTGAGTTCCCAAAATTCCTGGCTTCTTTGAACCTATCTTGAACAAATCTACTGTCTTCATAACACATCCTCCTTAAAACACAAGGACATTATTTTAGCATACTAAATGCAAGGACAGCTGAACAACTCACCTCACAGCAGTTTCCTTCAAAAGGAGTGCGTGTCCTGTGTCTATATGGCAGAAGAGGGTCATTCAGAGTGTCTGGGCTCACTGCCCTGCCCTGGGAGACAGCCAAGATTTGTCTGAAGCTGGCAGCCTTGCTGCCAGGAGAGACAGGCTGTGGAGAGTTTCTCATCATCTGATAATTACTGCAGCACACTGAAAGAAGAGTAGGGCTGAAATTGGCCAGATCTGGAAGGGTTGAGATGCCACCACCATTTTCAGCAAATCTTGCAAAGCTGAAGGCAGCCCACGTGCAGATGTTAGAGTCTTTCCATCTCTGTCCTTCCAGGAGTCCCAGAGGCAAAACTCCCAAATGGTTCCTGGGCACAGGAGGGAACAATGAGCTCTGAAAACACTCAAGAGAAAAGTAAGCCTCTCTGCTGACCTCAAATTCCACTTTAGACAGCTGCATAAAAAGCACCCCACAGGCTTGACTACTTCAGTTTTCAGAATTAGCACACAACCTATGTAATGATCATCCCAAGAGGTGTCACATTCCTCAAATCCTACTATGAGTCCTTACAGGTTTTCAGCTACCAAGTGCTTGGCAACACTTTTTCTGTATTGTCAAACATTTTCTGTATTTGCTTGGATGGAAGCAGTTTGAATCCTGTAGGTTAAGTACTGGGATGAGGCTGTGAAGGTTAGTAAGGACTGTGAAGGTACATTGAAAACACTTGGAGGATAATGGGTTGTTATAAAAAATGTTTGGTGATTGTGGAAATGGCCAATAATAAAAAGACATCTAGAAGAAGAAAAAAGTCAGTGAAGATGAGGAGCCAAGGTTACCTGGGTCTTCCACCTGATTGGTATCTTGAATATAGCAACTGTGGCCATGTTGAGAAAGGCAGAAAGAGCCATAAATCTCCCTAGATGAATAAAGATGGGGAATTAAATGCCAGAGAGAGTACCTGGATCTTATTTAAAATGTATTTATCTTGTAGTCACAACACTGAAAAGTTCAAAACTGTACTTCATTTATTATATCTTTTCTATCTAGGTAGAGAGGTCCTCAAGAAAGGTAAGTCAGTGTCAGTGTATATACCTTATGCTACTCTTTTTGAAATCCTTTTCCTGACACTTGAAGAAAAAGATATGTAAATTGAGATTGCCAAGATTGTCTGTGGATTTGGATGATAAGTTTGTATTTATTCCTATAAAATTTGGGGAATGGGATGTTTCATTGCAATTTCGAATTATATTATTTTAAATGTTTTAGGGGGTTTTTTTGCTGCCAAGTTTATAACCTGAAAGACATGCAATATTACATACAATAACAACAGAAGCCATTATTACACAGGTGGCCTACTGAAGGCTTATTTTATCACATTTTGATAACATTAACATGCTCATTAGAATACATGATTATGTATATCTGATGAATGCCAAAACCCAGTAATCACACAGTCACTGGGAGCTTCTCCTGCACTCCCACAAAAGCTGCACTCATTTACTTTCAAACTTGTGGCTGTGAGCCAGCGTACATGGGCAGCCTAAACTTATCAAACAAGGAGCTGCTTCTTCAGTTGTGAGAATCTTGCAGGCTGCAGACCTTCGGTAACTTCTGATGCCACTAAATCAAAAGCACAACACAATTCCTGATTCTGTGTGGGAACTTGCTTAGACTTGCTTCATTTCTCACTTAACCAGAGCCAAGCTTTCAAACCTGCCCAATTTCTGTGATATTTGTAAATTGCTGATAATACAGAACTATACTCATCAAACATTGTTTTGCATTCTGATAAGAAAAATAATTAGCCTAAGCATATTTCTATAATTACAGTAAAAAGCTTTGCTTTCCATGGTGCTAAAACTTATTTTTAATTGGATTTACAAACTGAATTAACTTTATATAATTGCCTAGGACCCTGTAGTTCAGCTGTTAAAAATCGTTATCCCAGCTGGCCCCGAGCAGTCTTTCCCCATGTCTGACCAACCAGTCCTGAATACAGACACATGTGAAGTGCTGCCTTGTGCTCCAGGGGGTGGTGGAAATGCAGGAAGCTATCAATAGCCAGCTCAGACTAATGAAAGCACATCTCTGCAGGGCCTGATCAAGCTGATGATTGTTTGTTAATTACATGAGGCAAGTTCAATGGCATTTCACTGCAATAGGTTATGTCTGCTTGACCATGATATCTACTCAGTTTAGACACCCATTTACATTGCCATTTTCATACTGGCAAAATGCAGAAACCCCTATTAAGTGAATAATTCAGAAATAAATGAGGTTTTGCCACTCTTATCACATAAACTCACAAAGAATTTTCATTGTATATATATGGAACAGAAATACCAAGGTCTATTTACCATTTTGGTATCTAATGTCTGCTTTCCAAAAGAGAGTTCTCAGTGCATTCCGTGTAGCTCCCCTTTTCATCCTTTGCATTTCTCTCAAGTGAGCTGCCTGTGACTGCCTCCAAAAGCCCCTCTGCCCACATTTTTCCTTGCTTTGTGAAACTTCTCTGCACAGAGATTTCACAACATTTATGGAAGAAGAAATACTGTGTCAGCCAACTCATTTTCTCTTTTCTTTCAGCATGTCAACCATTATATATTTTCTCGGTATCCCATCCTATGTGAGTTTTTGTGCCTCTTTCTGTTCAGACTTGGGGCTCATCTTGTCTCACCCTTGTCTGAATCAGAGCAACAGCTCCAGATAGTTTCTGCACTCCTCTACTTCCTATTTTTTTCTCTCTTCAAATATTAGTAGCTCTGTCAAATCTCTGTCCATCTCTCTGTTTCTTGGAAAAGGAAAGTGGTCTTTGTTACAGTAGAAAGGGAGTCTTTTTGAGACCCATACATTTTCTGCACTTGCTAATGTCCAGCTCATGAGATTGGAAAGGGACTATTTTGGACCAGTAAGAGTGTTTAAAGCCTCCTTTGACACTGCAGAGTCCAGATTTGTTTATTTTCCAATGCAGAGAAAGAGTGCCAGTCATGGAGTAAAGGATGTCTACTCTGATATGTACACTTAAGGTAGAGGCACAGGAAGCATCTTTGCCCCTGAGACATGGTCTGTACCCAGCCAGCCCATAAACAATGATAAATGGTTCAGCTGCAGGTCTGTCTTCCCAGAAATCATTTTATACATAGCTATGAAAACATTCCAGTTAAGCAGTCAGATGTGTTATCATAGCACCAAGCTCTGACCCCTGGGGTTACATAGGATCTGCTCAGAACTGGAGTCTCAATAATGGTTTTTTCCTACTCTTTACAGACCTTTATACAGCTTCCAAATCTGAATCACAGTAGCTGTATTCAGTGCCTGAAAAACAGCTCCTATTCATTATCATCCCTCTAGTACTCCTTAGGCTGCCAAATTGCCATCAGTGCTTTTACTCTCAGTTTGTGTGTATCTTCCTGTCCCACTGGCTCAGCTTCTTCTTGTGTTCTGTGTTCTTTCAGGAATGATAAATAAAAAAGATACCATGCATTTGTTTGAAATAATACCTTTTCTCAGTGGCTGAGAAAAGGTATTTTCTCCAGCTGCTGGCTAGGGCGCTGACTTGCACATCATCTCCTACAGCCATTCGCTGCAGCTCAAGCCTGTGAGATCCCATCACTGATAGCTGTGGACCCACCACAGGAGAGGGCTGGGGGACCTCACCTCTTTGCCATGTCAATTCAAAACAGAATCAGGCTCCAAGGGCTCCAAACTGTCAGGGTTCTGCTTTTCTTTCTGCAGCTGTGTGGGCAAAACTAGAAGCTTCAGGAAGTATTATTTTGCCCATTTTTTGGGTTTTGGATGGTATCTAGACATTCACAATTGATAACTAAAATGCAGGGTGATGGATTATTGCCATCAATATAATCTTGAAAATTTTTGTATGATACCCATGTGTGTTTGTAGCCATTTTATCTTCTTGGGCATAATGTCAGGCTATTTTTCAGGTACATATCATGATTTATGCCCTCTCTCTTCGAGTGAAACTTATTTCACTGGAGTAATCACAGTTTCCAGTCTACCTTTTATCAATGACATCAACTCATTCACCAGCCTAATGCTGCATTATCCCAGGAAAATCACATTGTTGTGGTGTTACCTTTCCCCAGAGGAGGCTGAATTACTTTTATTACTTCCTTCTTGAACAACTACTAATCTCATTTCTGGAGTTCTTCCAGCAGGAGGACTATACTTCTGACATGATAGATTCAAATCACCCATGCCAGCATTTAACAGACTGAGATATCTCTCTTCAAGGGCAGAGATTTGATTTCCTAAAGAATCTGTAACTTAAGGACAAGTGGGGTTTTTTCACAGTTCCCCATTTATTCTCCTGTTTTAATGAACTTGCCCATATTTTGAGTTTTTCTGATTCCAAATTGATAATTAATTGCACCTACAGCAAGATTCTATAAAGATTTACAACCGCTAAGTTCTATGATTCCTGTCCGTATTGAAAATGTAAATTACCCAGAATTTTTTGTTCCTGTTTTCCTGCATTAATTTTCCAGACTAACATTTTAGTTTGCTAACCTGAACTGCTAAATCATCTGCTTATGTTTAATATTCAGATTCCCAAACTTTATTGATTGTACAAAGTAAGGTCTAGGGCCAAGAGCTTACGAGTAGTCACAGGACAAATCCATATCATGCCCAGCCTTCACCAAGGTAATGCTGTGGTTGTATCCTCAAAATACACTGAAGGGACACTCCCATTTTGAAACTAACAAATTAAATTCCCCTGAGATTAGGCAGTAAATCTGCAGCAATTAACATCTATTCAAAAAGCTTTCAGCTCTCACATTGAATAAAATGCCTACAACAGGCTCCCCTGGGTCTGGGGAAGGAGAAGAGAGCTGAGGATGGTGGAAGAAGCAAACAGGAGCCTTTCCCTTGACCACCAAAAGCAGCCCCCATCCCCATCATTCCCCTTCTCCACCAGCCCTCACATAGTTCCTGCAGGGACAAATACATTCTATGTCAGCTTGCTCAGGAATCTCTAAGCAGTACTACTGAATAAATTCGTGTGCCTCAACTTCTGCTTTTAGCTGGAGGTGAGTATATTTTTATAAGAATCTGTCCCTTAAGAACACCCTTTCAGTTCTTGGGGGAGAGAAAAGTTAAGCTGCTTCCTTCTGCTATGAGGGACTGATCCAAATAAATATCTTAGGGAAGTAAGTGGATAGGGGCAAGTCTCATGGGTCCTGCTGTGTCTCCATTTCCTCTCCCAGTCCATAATGTGCATTTTTACCCTTAGCAGAAGGATTTAAGACATGGACCTGAGACTTACAGTTGGCTGCTATTTAAGAGAATTTGCAAAATAGAGAAATATATTATCAGTGTGTCTTGTGAGAGGATAAAGATGAATTTAAAGTCAAAAGCTAAGTTGTTTTTTAAGCAACTTAAATCTGATGCAAAGGGCCCAATCACATTTTTAGTATCACTTAACATATTGGGATCTCTAAAAGCCTCACTGTGCCTTTGTAACATAAATAATAACAGCCATAACAGATTCCTTCTGGTAATGGATCTGGTCTCATGAAGGAAAATCACAGACATAAGAGTAGAAAAAAGAGACTTATTTAATTCAGATCTGTTTTCCACGTTGACTGAATTCTGACAGTCCCAGCTTTTAATTTTCATAAAGAAAAACCTGTCTGTTTCCAACCTGTTCAGTCCTACTCAGTGGGAGCAGTTTGACATGGACTGAGGAGTAACTCTACTCTTTCACTACTAGAAGGGCACATGGTGGTCAGGGCAGCACAACAGCAAGCTGAACCCACTGGAAAAGTATATGGTATGAAGAGTGAAAACTGATCCTATTTCCATTAACTTCAACACATAAATTTCAATTTGCCCTTAAAGCTATTACCCGCAGGAAGTTACTAATTTTGAAGCTGATAACATACATGTCTGTAGTCTATCACTTGTGGTTTGACTATCCAAAACATAAAGCAGTGTTTTCTCAGCTCAGAGGTTTTAGTGCAGTGCGAGGCCCCAAAGGGGTCTGGATTCTGAGAAAAAAACTGTGCACCCAGATATTAAGTCATTAACAATGAACTGCATTTCTAAATGGAGAGTGTGAATTATTTAATTATCCATTTAGTGGGAACATGATTGCTAAATACCCTTTAGAATAAAGTATTTAAATCAAGTCAATTCTCCATGGATGTCTTATTAACTACTATTTGGTAGAAGAGTGGCTATTACTTGGGTAGTAATAGCCACTCTTTTCCCTTAAAAAAAAACACTTTAAGGCATCACACAAATATGCATGCAGCAATGGGCAGGCAGTTTCCTTTTAGGCTTGGGCACTCAGCCATTCATCTCTTGCTTTTTGTTTCAAGGTTAATGCTTCCTTCATGTCCTAGTGGCAATAAAGTGTTTCTAAGTGGATTTATTCTTGCCTATTTATGGAAAAACAATGTGAAGATCCCAGAGATTAATTTCTTTCAAACCTGCAGAAGTAAATACATCTGTGGCAGAAAAGTCTTGTTTATGTCACTTGCACTGCTTTTATCTCTGCCTTTTTTCTCTGGTCTGTTGCTTACCTATTTCCTCACCATCCTCACCCCTCCTATGCTCTCTTCTTTGGCACTTACCCCTGAATTCTGTTGGGGTGTTAATGCTTGAATGAGTGTATATGTGAAATGTACCTTCAACTGGGTACACCTACATCATACATGCTGGCCACCCTATGTATACCACACGTGCATGTCTTTTGGCCTCTGCACTTTGTTCTGTTCATTTTTGTTGTTAGTTCATATCCTTAAAACTCAAATATTTTTTAAAACAAATTTTAAATAGATATCTGGAATAGCAATGATTTCTTGTTTCTCAAGCAAAATATGGAATTTAATTAATTTAATTCTATTATCTTAAGAAATAGATCATGCCATATTAGAGAGAAAAGAAAGCTGCCTTGGAAATCTGTCATAAATCTCATCTGTGATCACAGAGCAAAAGCTGAGCACTGCAATAAAATACAGCAGCCACACAAGATCAATTACTCTATACTGCCATTAGTTGGGGAGAGTCTTCAACCTCACAGAAGAGTGGAATATTCTCCCTACTAGCCACTTTGGATTTTATTTCACAGTGCAGTGAACTCAGTGGGATTTTGCTTTCTGGTAGGCCTGGTCACTTCTCTGCTTGCAAAAGTACATATGCAGAACTGAGTTTTCTAAGCCAACTATTTATTTCCTCAGAAAGTACAACTGGGTAATTTTAGGGAGTGTTATTTAAAGTTGAAGGATCTCTTCCCTCTCTCCCTTTTCAGGGTGGCACATTTGTCTCAGGGCTCTCCAGAGAAGTGCAGCTATGTGTATGTTCTCAAATTAAAGAAGGTGCAGAATGAGGTGGCAGCCACAAGACCAAGGAGCACAGACCTGGTCTTGACAACCCTGTGTAGACCCCACTTTGCAGGGGATGAGCTGCCCCCACTGAGGCTCAGCCTGACCCTCCTTCCCCCTCTCCAGGCCTAAAGCTGTGGTAGGGGTGCAGGATCACATTCTTCCCACAGCATGGCTGTAGCACATCCTAACTGTTTGGCATATGGAACGTGCTGAGACAGCACTGAAGGGAGCCAGAGCTCACACAGTCCTGTCTCCATTGCCAGCTGGGAGCAGGTACCTCTGAGACCCCACAGTGCACTGGCAGAGCCCTTCAAGACAGCCTGGTAATGAGCTGACAGCAATGCTGTGGGGCTGGTTGGGGCCCCAGAAAAGAGCCTGGGCCAGAGATGCTTCTAATTAACAGTGGAGACAAATCCACTGAGGTCAGTGCAGAGTCAACAACACTCCAAAAACACATTTTCATTAGGGATTAACTTCAGTTGTTTGCTTTGATGCAGAATGATACAAAGTAACATGTTCCAAAGCTGCACTGAACCTTAGGAACAAGGGGAGGCTTCAGCACTGGTTTAAATGTTGTAAGAAATTCTGACTGACAATACCTGGATATATGTATATTTCAGTAGAAATATGTATATATGCTGAATGTGGTTTGAGCATACCTGTTGAAAATGTAGGGGTGCAATTGGTAATTATAATATCACATTACTAACACTTGGCCACATGCAGCTCAGGTATGTGAAATTTCTTTTAATCAGTATATATTTTAATTTTATCACTTCAAGGTGAGGCATGTTTTCAGCTTATTATTATGTTAAAAGGTGGAAAAAAAATTAGTGGATAGATTAATGAAGTTGACAACATTTCTTGCAAGGGTGGTGCATGGACCCATGCCAAAACTGAAGCAGGATGCCTGGGGCTATTCAATCTGGCCAATAACCTTTCAACAAACATATTTATCTAAACCATTTGGAGCAAGCAGCTGTGTGGTACTTAGTTGCCAGCTGGGGTTAAATCCAAAGACATTCAGTTTTAGAAGAGTTGAAAGTATTTTTAGCTTGTTACCTGTTGCTTTAGGAGCAGTGAAACCCAGAGAGACTTGCAGATCTCATGAACAACACTGTGATTCACAGCCACCAACCTGCAGCATCACAGAATTATACTCATTTTGCATAATGCAAGCTCTCTCCAGATTTACTCTCTGAGTGTTTCATACAGTGAAGACCGTTGTCATTACATTGCAAGGGTTCCATATTGCTAGAGTTTCGTACCTCCTTGGTGTTTCTTGTAGGCAGCTCCTCTAGGCACTGACTCATCCTCACAGCAGCCAATTAACTCCAATTGCCCTCAACCAACTAATCCACTCTTTTATAACACTCTGCTTATTGGCTACAGCTGTGGCCTTTTAACATCTGGCCTGTACCCAATCTCTAATAATTTGCTCGGCTGCAACTCCTTAATGGGGTAAGATTACTTTCTATACTACCTTTATTTTCTTATATTGTATCCCCCTACAGGGGACAAATGTTTTTTTGTTTCATACAGTAAAATGGTGTGTGTGTGTGTGTGTACTCATTTCTGAAGGGTTTTTTGAAGGTGAAGATCTATTGTAAAGTTAATGTGCTTAGGAAATCCATGCTGATTCTAAATTCCTGCTCCTTTACGTGGGTCTCAAGTATCTCTATCAAAATTAAGAAGTCAAAAGTCAACAGAATAGTTCCGAGTTGACCAGCACGCAAGGTAAGAGCACAACAGCGTAACATGGAGTAAATATCCTGTTTATCATGAGGTCAATAAAGAGCACTAATGGGTGGTCTATTCACCATATATTCAGGAGTTCATTTTCAGTACTTAGTTTGTCTGTCCTATGCACAGCTGCTGCATCAACACTTATTACACATAACAATGTGAATTGACAGAAAAGCACAGTATCTAGCCACTTCATTTTACATGTCACACCTTATCTTGGGAGTCAACCACTACAGCAAGATGAGAACCTGAGAATGACACATGGCTCTCCACACCAAAGCATGTCCTTCCTCAGCCACCATGATACCTTGTTTGGGCATTAGCACAGTTTACTTGTGATCAGTAATTCCAGGCAGAGTAATTCAGGAAGGGTTCAGGCACATAGCTCCAAGTCCTGCTCTGCCTCTGTTTTTCCCCTGCAGCAGGGTTAGTAGATGCTTGCTGTGGAGATAGCTTGACTGACAGCACCAACAGCACATGGGCTCAGAAAGACCTAGACACTGGTTTGCCCTTTTTCTCTGACCAGGCATGTCACAGATATATTTTATGAAAAATCCTTTTGCCAGGATTTTTTCTCCTGAGAGGCCTCAGAAACAAAATGTAAACAATAATTATCTGCTGCTGTGGAATGTAACAGATGCATCTTTGATTGGTCCATGTGCGCTGTTTCTACTTGATAACCAATCATGGGTCCAGCTGTGTTGGGACTCTGGTCAGTCACAAGATTTTATTATCATTCCATCTCTCTCCTTTCTACCCTTCTGATTAAATCCTTTCTTCTATTAGTTTAGTATAGTTTTAATATATCATTTTCTTTTAATGTAATATATATAATAAAATAATAAATCAGTCTTCCGAAACATGGCATCAAGATTCTCATCTCTTCCCTTATCCTGGGACCCCTGCAAACACCACCACACAGGCAGACTCTCCCCATGCTGGCAAAGGAAACACATTAACTTATTCTTTGGAAATAATGCTTTCTGCACACTTTCTTTGACTGTGCAAAAGTAGCTCGGGGCCATTCCCATGACAAGGAACCTCATGACACTGGTAGACTGGTCTCTCCTAATGTTCATCTCTGTGCCAGTGCAAGTCTCTGCCCTGTGCAAAGAAAAGGCAACTGATCTTGTCAACTCAGCTGGGCATCTGCATGTGTCTTTGATCTTCTACATGGTAACACACTGGTCTATTTGTATTTGCTGGACTGAATTAAAGGTGCACAAAGCCTTGGTTTACTCTATATTCCTTCCTTTTTTTTTGTATAAATAACTCCAGATGTGTCAGTTCTTTGAAAAGTTAAATTCAAAATACATAACGAAACACTTGTTAAGACGAAGTTAAACCAAGTGGCCACAGCCACCCTGTTTGCGGAACTGTTTCCAGTGCATGCCTGGTTACTGTGCAAGACATTCACCTAGCACCTTGAAGGAGGGAAAAATCAAATGCTCTCCAAGGATTAGCCTTCCTTAAGTGATCTTTCTGCCCCATAACTCTTCCCCTCTGTGATGGTGGTAGGATTTGGCCCTGGGTGGGAGCCCTGCCTCAGAGCAGAGCTGGCTCCTTAAGGCTGCCTGTGCGGTGGAGGAATTGTAGCTCTTGATGTGAGACCAGAACATAAACCAATGGCAAGACTTTTAGCAAGGCTATAATTTCTGCTCCTATAAGCTTCATTTTATGTTACCTTCAATAGAAATCAGTCCCCTAACCCCCCATAATTTACTGGTTTATAATTTGTCTTGAACTAGAGCAATCCATGTGTTTCATACATTAGCTTTTATTTTGTCACTTGAGGTAGCTGAACATTTCAAATTCAGTATCTGTGTATTTTTATACCAATTCAAGTCTGACATGTAAAGCTGCTTTGACATTAAAATCTGAGTTGCAGGGAAAGACTTGCTAAATGCAGGACTAGGTTGCACTGATTGTCACATCAGATTTTTGATAGACATTATGGTATACAACAATCTTTCTCCAAACATCTTACTGAAAACCTCATCAACCAGTGATGAATAGAGGCAAATCACTCTTGAAATCTATTCTACTAGACATATTAAAAAAAAAAAAGCCTGACACACAACAAAAGCCAGAACTAAAATTGCAGAAAAGCTTATGAGTGATAGTGAAATTTATCCTGTTTCTTCTAATTTTTACATGCAACAGCAAATGCCAGCCATTAAAATAGAAAGTTTTATCTACAAGTAAAAAGGACATTGCAGTGATTCTCTCCAAGCTTTTATGTGTAGAATTAAAATGTACACCCTGAGAGCAAACCTCATAAAAATAGACTAAGTCCATAAAAATGGACTAAGCTTCTGCAATGGGCGTGTTGCATTATTTTCATTATTACAAATTGTTAGTGAACAAGCGATGAGTAATAATTTCACCAAAATTAGGTACATAAATAATGTTTTGCTTTTTTAGTAGAATGTTTTTCAGTTGCAAGCTGAATTTAGAAAATTGATTTAGAAAAACAGATCACAGTTCTGTTAGATGACTATCTCCAACACATGAGCTGACTGTGGCTGTGATGTCCCCCCTGGAGGCTGAGGCTGCTGTCATTAGTGGAGAGACCTTGACACTCTATTAGGCAGTTACTCACTAAAAAATATTCATTATATTCAAAACTCTGCCTGAAGACCTGCCTAAAATGCCACAAGCAGTAGTCTCAGCTGGTGTAAATGAAAGCAGCTTCAGTGGCTTTGTCAGGGTGGAGACTGCCTGCTCTATCTAAAACATCCGTCCTGGGTTCCCATTTTCAGCATCTCTGCTCTCACCACCAGCAAAAAGAAAAAACTTGCTAAATTTTCTTCATTGTTAATCATTAACCTCTGGCTGCATTCCTGTCTCTAAAGCAGCATGCACCTATTTGTTTGGTATGATGCTGACATATGATGATTATTCTATAGTAGTGTTTTGAAAGCTTCTGTTATTTTCTTAATACCTCAGGCTTTCTTATTTTATTCTGCTGCCTTGATCCATGCAACAAGTCTCCTGCTACAAAACCATGCACAGCCTGCACACCCTGCAGATGCCTCCCCCTTCCACCCTCACTGCCACCACAAGGCTGCTGTGATGGCAGTCCCAGCGGGCAGAGCTTCTGTCCTCCTCACACGAATGGGCCCTGACGTGCTGAGCCGGTTCCCGCAGGCAGAGTCCCTCTGAAGATGATGCTGCCTGACAACGTGAATCAATCCAGCATTTCTTTATCTCATTTCAGAGCAGCAGGACTCCTGGGGCTGCGACACTGAATATGTGCCGTGTGTTACCCGTCCTGATCAAAACACTTAACGGTGGTCACTGCCCCGGACACCCTCAAACAGGGGCGGCCCAAGGACTGTCAGAGCCGGGGGCGCCGCGCCGAGCCCCGCTCCCGCCGGAGAGCAATCTGCTGCCTGACGAGAGAGATGCTCCCATCCCCTGCATCAAAACCTTCAGCTTTTCTTCTTTGACGCAGACATTAAGGGCAATCCTGGCAAATTCAAAACCGGATCAAGTATGGTACCTCAGTGAGTTGAACCACTGTCCTACAAATTGCCCAGCCGGGCTGCACTCCTGGACTTCTCATGGGAACCTGTCCCCTCCAGTTGCACAGGTTCAGCAGCCCCAGGCAGCGCCTTTTCCTAACCCATTGTGGCAGTGTAGGCTTCACATGAATTGCAACAGCTGAGCTAGTTGGCTGCACACCAACCAGGTCAACAGCATTTAAAAAAATCTTTATTATTGTTCAGCTTCCAGGCACACATACCTACAGACACATATCTGGGAACTGGCAGCCTAACAAGACATTTGTCTGGCTTCTGATTCTGCCTCGAAAAAGCCTTTGGGACACAGCTATCTGCCAAATCTCAAGCATCTCTGTCCCATAGTTCTTGCCAGTTTATTTCTCAAACAGCACTTCTGCCCCAAATATCCCTGCAATTTAAAATCATGATAACAAATGGTTGAATTAGAATAAGGTTATTGTTGCATAGAAAACCAGAATTAATGTGTTATGCAAAACAAGTAAATTATTATGAACTTGTGTCTTATTCTATTTAACCACTATTTTATAGTGCCTTTATATCTATAGATACACACACACGCACACACAAACACACATTTTTATCCATTAGCACGTGATGTGAACTTCAGACACTTTGGGCTTCTGCTAACCAGCAATTGTAGCTTCCCTCTAGTGGCCAATTGTTGCTTAAATGCTAGTGACTGAAGACTCATCTGCCTCTCATTATAAAAAAGATAATCAGCTTATTTTAGAAAAATATATCTGAGTTCCCCTTTTGGTAAAGTTTATGGTCATTGCCTAATTGTAGTAGAACAGCACAGGCTGTTTCCTTATTCGAGCAAAACTTTGGAACCAAGCACCTGTAGTGAAAAGGACAGGAAGGAAAAACAATCTCAGTTAAATAGAAATTCTTGCTGGATAATTGTTC